ACAAATCAAATCCTGAATCCATCACTCCAGAGTCCAGCCTTGGCAGACAAAAGAAAAATGAGGAACCAACCAATAGAGGGATGCTTTTGGAAGCCCTTGTCAAGAAATTCCAATGGACTCTCATATGAACATTTGGAAATTGCCCTGTTCTGACTTTTTTCTAGCTCCCTGTCTAGAACTTGTAGTGGTAATTACTCTTGCTTTTACTTCTCCTTCACATCTCCTGTTCATGATTCAAGGACTTTCTTTTCCCCGTAGAGATAAGAGTTATGCAATTTGGAAGTCTTTTAGATAGACCCACTGAAGGGGTACTCCAATAGCCTCACTCTGAGTCCCTGTTCAGCATGGAAGAAGCCAGAGCGGTCTACGTCCCTATTCCCTATTGGCAATTTGGGTAACATCTTCAAAAGTTGGTGTGATAAGAATAGGAAGTAAGAATTGCTAGGCAGTTAGGGTAAAAAGACCCTAAAGAAAAGTAGCCAGTTTCTTGGCTAAAACTCACAATGTCCTTGGGCCTCTTAGCAACGTACTCTGTTCCAAAGGCCAAAAAATGTCAAAAATATTTGGGAGCTTTTATCTAATCCTTAAAAGATTTTAGCATTATCTCTTCAGAGGAGGGAATGTTAGAGTAGCCAATAGCCCCATAAAAATAAATAAATCAAAAAAGAAGAAAGAGTACATGAAGTTATCAGAAAAAAAGTGATGGGGAGATATGGGAGGAGTTGGAAGGGAGGGAGTGGGTGTGGATTTGATCAAAACACCTTATATGCATGTATGAAATTCTCAATAAATTATTTACTAAAAAAGAATTTTATCATCAAAAACATGCAATACAAAGGTTGCAATGATTTTTCATCATGTGGTTTCTTTAAATCAAAGATTCTATTGTAACAAACTTAGAGGTATGTTTATATACAGATGTTCTGTAAGAATTTGCACCAAGGTGGTTTACTGTGGTCATTTCTAATAGTGGTAACAGACTGGAAAAAAATTTTATATGCTCTTGATGGTCATTTATCTTAATAAATGTGTTAATAAATCAATGAAATTATTTTTAATTAATCTTAATCTAGAAGAAAATTACCATAATGTCAAAACAACTTTTAAAATCCCATTTTTAGTTTTACCTGCAAAATTCTGCCATTAGATAGGAACTTGTGATGCTCGTCTTCTGGCAAAGGCTGTCCATCTTTCTGCCAGGAATTTCTGGGTGCAGGGTTGCCGCTGGATGAACATTCCACCTGTGTGCTCTTGTTCACCAGCACGGTGACCTCTTCTGGGAGATCACCGTGTGCTCCCTTGATGACTGGTGGCACTGAAACGATTGCAACGGAGATACTGATGGGCACCAGGGGCTTTAATGTTTGTTTCTGTCAGCTTGAAAAAGTTTTGGATGATAACAGCAAGGAAAACTGAAAGGGAAAATCATGCTCTACAACATCATTTTCATTAATAAACTGGGATAATGAAAATGCATTTAGATTTGGTTTTACCCTCTTCCCTCTCTTAATCACCCCAAACTCACCCCCATCTCACCATATCAGCATTCCCATGTAGCTAAATTCCAATTTTCCCCCAATATATCTGTTATTTTTCCTCTCAATCCCTTCTATGTCATCTGGGCTTTGAAGGACACAAGAAGAAGCTTTGATACTAATCCATATTTAAGACAATTTTGTCATCAAGTCAAGCCAGATAAACTATAGCTTTTAGAGTATACTTGAAATAGAGTTGGTTTTCTTTGTTGGGGAATTCATACAGGATGGTTCACACTCCCAGTCTCTGCATCAGAATAGCATCAATATCACCTGGGAGCTTGGCTAGAAATCATGTCTGTGGGCCCCACCCCAATCGTCTCCATAGTCATCTTTGAGGAGAGGCAAGATGCCCAGGTGACCCTCAAGTATGTCTGAGCAGTCACTCTAAATTCTCCCACACATATTCATTTCCATTTAAAACAATACTATACAGTTTAAAAACATTTCAGCTATGAAAAATCACACATCCATAGACTAAAAACTGGAAGTAAATTAAGAACTCATGTCTACTACATTTCTAAAACCAGATATCTATTTTTTAAAATATTTTATTATTTTTTATTTTATGTGTATTACACATTGCATGTGTGTAAGTGCACCCGTGTTGTGCGATGCCCAAGGAGGTCAGAAGCAGGCATCTGGTCCCCAAGAACTGAAGTTACAGATGGTTGTTAGCTGTCATGTGGGTACTGGGACTCAAACCTGGGTCCTCTGCAAGTGCAGTCAGTGCTCTTAACTACTGAACCATCTCTCCAGTCCCCAGATATCTATTTTTCAATGTAAATAATCATTGTTTTGTTTCAAAAGTTTATTTTTGTTTCCTTCTGTTAAAACATATCATATCTGGGGCTGGAGAGATGGCTTAGTGGTTAAGAACATTGGCTGTTCTTGCAGAAGACTCAGGTTTGAATCCCAGCACCCACATGGCAGCTAACAACTGTCTGTAACTCCAGTCCCAGGGGATCTGATAGCCTCTTCTGACCTCCACTGGCATTGCACGACATGGGTGCACTTACCTACATGCAGGTCTTACACACATACACATAAAATAAAAAATAATAAAAACATATATCTTTGACAATCAGGAAAGAATTCATGTTTAATGTAGATGTGGTCTTGTTTTTTGTTCTCTAACAAACTGAAATTCTCTAAAGAAAATAATCAATGCTGCAAAGCACATAACAGAGTATCAATGTCATTGTGCACACATATGTTCACATTCAAAGTTACACCATTTATCTGATGTCCACTGTATCCTCTGCTATATCCTCGGTGCCCAGCACAATGTCTGACCTGATTTGTGACCTTGGTGTATATGTCACATACTGAGCAATCAACAGATATTTGTCAAATAAATATAATTTGAACTTTAATGGTTTCTGTCTTCTATCTCTTTGGGGGTTTTTATAGACTTCTCTTTGAACTGAAAATGTTTCCTTCTTATCTCCCCTCTTTACAATCAGTCTGTCTAATTATGTAATCCAATCTAATCATCAGTCTAGCTCCAGACTCACTTTTCCTCTTGCCCAGCCCAGACCTCATGGTCAGTCACCTCAGTGACGCCTGTGCCGCTGACACTTGCTGTGTTACTCCCTAGGACTTTCACAAAGCACACCTGTGATACCCTCCTTCTAATCCCCAGAAAAGCTGCATCGTTTATATTTTTTGGACTTCTATCTCCTGGTTACTGAGGGCGAGTGCTGAAAGCAGTTACTGAGCCGACTGATCCAACCATGGGCTGTACATCCCTCACAGTGGTCACTGCTGATATGTTCTGTTTTCTACAGGCCCAGGTTCCAACCCTGCCACTGTTTCTTTTATACTCACACTTAATGGGTGGACTAAATGAATTTGATACTAACTGTGTTCTTTCTTTCCATTACAATATCTCTCCCCCACGAAGGGCTTATTAATGTCTCAGTTATTTGCTTGCACTTTTTGTTACATATTCTCCTTGACTGTTATAGTATTAATTCCCCACCCTGCTTTCTATACAGACTCTTGAAACTTTAATGTGTCCCTTTGTATTCAGATCACCCTCCCAGTCTACAGGTAAAAGCTCAAGTCTTTTAAATTTGTTTTCGCCATCCAATCTATTCTACTCTTTTTGCCTCTATTTTATTTACTTTACATCTATTATTTGCTCAAAGTTTGCCCCTTCATTCTTTGAAGCACATCATACAACCTAAATTGTTCTACCGAATTCCACCAATGTGCTTTTAGTTTCAAAGACAAAGTCATTTTTATTTTCTGAAAATTTTAGCATTCAGTACTGAAGACCTGTTATTTGATGGTTTTGTCTGTGCAGGAATCTGGCCATGATGGCTACTGACCAACCACTAATTCCTCCAATTGTCCTCGTCTAGGTTGCTCTTCCCTGTGATCCTCTTGGGTAGAATATATAATCCTTTCTGCTGGAAATCTTGTCTTTGGTATCATTTGTCTCTGGGCAGCTGTGGAATCTGTAGTCTTTTTCAGTTCTTCCTTCTCTGTTTCCTCACTGCCCATTCACCATTTTACATACGCATCCTGGAATTATGTCACAGTTAAAACATTGGAAGCACTGACTTCCTTCCTGCCAGTGTTGTGCATCTGCCCAGCCATTCTGCTTCTACTGATCTTGTCACCATTAGTTTAGTCACCTTGAGTCTCAGTGTCACATTACACTTGAGCATCTAACACTTCATACCACTTCTCCACTCGCTCTATGAAAATCTTTCATTCTGACTGCCTCCTACCTATTCACGCGGCTACCTCTCTAGCACACCTCTACCTGCGTGCTTGCTGCTGCTTCTAAAACCACCACTCGTCTTTTCACTTGAGGGAACAACACTCTATCTCCATGCATCAGATGGAGAAGACTCTGATTAAAAGCAGGCATAAGAACAAGGCTTCATCAGTTAGATCACTAGAACCTCTTGGTCTCGGCAGTGGGATGAGAGATGTGGATGTGATTCACATGTGGCCATGAGAAATCAATTCTAGGACTTCATTTATAAATACTAGGCCTGAAAATTTTAATTTGGAAGTGAAACTGGGAAGAAGTAAGTCTAGAGCTGCTAAGGTCCACCTTGTTATCCAAGGGGATCCCCTATTTAAGAATGACATTAATAATAATTAATGATAATAATAAAAGTCAAGAGACTAGAGATGGAGTCTGGCTGATATTTAGCTCCTTTGAGCCATAGAAGTCAGACATGATGGCAGCTGGTTCTACTCCGGGACTTTGGAAGCTAATACATTAATAACAGTTCTCTCTCCCTCCCTCCCTCTTCCCCTCCCTCCCTCCATCTGCCATTTTGTTATTTAAGATGTTAGCAGTCCTGACTAATGTACTCTCTGTTTGTATATAAGATAATTGATTCCTTGGAAGAAGAATCAGTTTCTGATTATCTTTATAGTTTCTAAAGTGCTTAGAGCAACATCTTGCAGACATTAGTTGATGAAAAATATTTTTGAGTGAAAAAATGCACAATAAACAAAAGAATGCAAACTTACACAGTACACGGACGTCATACTGAAGGGAATCTTCTCCAGCCTCGTTTACAGCCACACATGTATACCTGCCAGCATCTTCTACTTTGGCCCTGGGAATCTGCAAGACTCGCCCTCCTGCAAAATATATCCTAGTATGTTTACTTCTCTCCACAGAAGAGTGAACACAGATCAGAAACAAAGCTACAACTTTTCCAGGTCTAATGACTTCCATTCATTTTCTCTCAAGGTTTCTGCTTCGTGTAATCATTTAGTTTTGATCTCAGATATTTTCCACTTTCAAAACAAGCACTGCATTATTTAACACATGATCCAATACTCTCATACAGGTCAGATCTTGAAAAATGAATAACAGGTGTCAATTTTCTTAGATGGGAGAAGACTTTTCTATGTTCTCTATCACATTCCATATGCTATGATACCACACAGTAATTTTTGCTTTCATGGCTTTGAATATTTTTAGTTGACATTTGCACTGTTTCCTACAAGAACTCATTTGAGGAAGTATATCCAGGGATCTAAAAGAGCAAGATGTGCTATATCTTACAGATATGTAAGATTGTGCATGTACTCCTAAAGATAGGAAGCTCTGTGTAATTGCACAATGTTTTATGTTGGTACTAAAACTTAGAGAAAAGTTGCAAAAGTTATAGAAAAACTTCCACCGATGTTCACTATTTATATTTCATATCATTTGCCTTATCTCTTTCTATTCTATGTATAAATGTTTTTCTGAAGCATTTCAATAGGTTGGAAAGAGGACGACCTTTTAATCCTATATATTAACAAATCTATTTTTTAAATCTTTTTTGAGACAGGGTCTCCATGTAGCCACAGCTGGCCTGGAACTCACTATGTAGACCAGGCTGGCATTGATCTCACAGAGATCCACCTCTGCCTCCCAAGTGCCGGCATTAAAGGCATGTACCACTACACCTGGCTACATATCTCTTTTTCAAAAATTCTTATTAACATTGCTTTCTTTAAAAAAATATGATTATGTTGAAAAACTTTGTATAGGTTGGAGAATATGGAAAGAGAGTGAATGCCAAACTCACATTACAGCAACAGTGACAAATTTCACAACATAGTTGAAGCTTAGTAGTACAGTTTTGTCAGTAAACAATATAAAAAATTATGGTAAACATATAGAATCGTGAATTTACATTCTAAAATATAATGACATATTTTTAGTTTCAAAATTATATCAGTTTAGTTATTATAGCACTTTATTTTTCTTTCTTTCTTTTCTAAACTTCCCAGATTGTGACTTTTATCTCTAGAAGTTCAATTAGGTATTTTATATTCTGTAGGACATAGGTGAAGGCACACTGGGACTGTAAAAGAGTAATAGGAAAATAACGGAAAACCTCTTCACGCCTGGGAATGAGAGTGGTCCAACATTAAAGCCTGGTGCCCAGGATCATGTGAGGAGTCACGATCACTGAAGGCCCTCAGTGGAGGTGAGAAGTCCATTCTAGAGAATCAGTCCTCCCAAGACCAAAATCTGCAGGAGGCATAGACCTTCCTTGTCCCCAGCATAAGCCCAGCACAGAGGCAAAGCCATGCACAACTTGGGACCTGAGGAATGCAGGCTGTGGGGAATGCAGTCACTCAGAGAAGACTGAAACTGCTGCCCAACATCAGGAAGTCCTCCATCCTCCAATCTGCTCCACCATCAGTCTACCACCAGAGGAATGTGGATCCCTGACTCATGGTAGGAAACAAAGATCCAGGCTCATGTGAGGGGACCACAGTTCCAGTTCACAGGAGGGAACCACATAATCCCTTATATAGCCCTAGTACAATAATGAAATGCAGAAAACTTTAAATTAGTATAAAACATATTAAATCTTTAGCCTCTATTCAAATGTCATTATTATTATAGTACACTTTTGATAACCATTTTCCCCAGACCCAGATTCAAATTAGAGTCATATATTACATATAGTTATCATGTCTATTTAGTGTCCTTTTATTTTAAAAAATTAATTAATTAATTGGCCAGGTGTGGTGGCACACGCCTTTAATCCCAGCACTCAGGAGTCAGAGGCAGGCAGATCTCTGTGAGGTTGAGGCCAGCCTGGTCTCAGTGGTGAATCCAGGACAGCTGGGGCTACAGGGAGACCCTGTCTCAAAAAGACAAAAAATTAATTAATTAATTAATTAGTTAATTTTAAGACAAGGTCTCCCTGTAGCCCTAGCTGGCCTGGAACTCATTATGTAAACCAGGCTGGTTTCAAACTCATAGAGATTTTTTGGCTTTTATTTTTTTTAAAGATACTATCTGTGGGAGACAGGCTTGAGCCTAGGGTGAAAGTCTTATTGACAGCCATATAGCAGGCCCAAGGCAACGGCCCACAGAAGAAATATCTTGTGACATTTGCTCCCATTGGCAGGTCATGAGACTGATGCCTAGAGCTCACCACTCCCTAATCACCACCCTTGGAATCCAAAATTGCAACACTTAGATATTGCAACAGTCAGGGTCACGTGGTTTCCAGGAATCCAGGCTCTGTAATCTGAAACCCACTATGCTAATGAGGCATCCTACTTGCTATTCTGTGATAGGATGTTAAATCTGTTATGCTAATAGGACGCCAAGTCTGTTATGCTAATAAGGTATCCTACTTGCTGTGCTGTGATTGGACCACTACCCCAATATAAGCTTGTGCCTTCCTGCAATAAACCAGACCTGTGTCACTGAACCTGGTCTCCTGTGTCTGAATGCGGCTCCGCTGACACAGTCTCCTCACCAGTGGCAAGGACAGGAGGCAGCACAGGGCAAGCAGAAGAGCAGCCTCAGCCCAGACCAGGAAGAAGTGCGGCCTCAACACCCATGAGAACGAAGAAGCGGCATCCATGAGAATGGAGGAGTGGCCACCGCTTGCGGTGACTGCAACTATCAGTTAATTTGGGTCAACTTCACACACTTTAATGTGACCTTAAGGGTACAATTGATGAGTTTTAACAAGTACTGACACATGAAATATTTTTATAATTATCAAAGCAATGAAAAATTATTCTAAAAAATGTAATCATCTTTCCATCAATAAACCACGTAGTGACTAAAATATTTGAAACTAATAATCTAAATGGAAACAATAGGATAATGACTATTTTCAAGTATATGTTAGAATTTATATTCATAATATATAGAAACAAAACTGACTTTCTCATGATGCAGAAAGGAGACAGGGGTAAGTCAAAATACCTTCATGAATTGATGAATGATACTGGAGCAGATCTGAAAAATGAACTCAGGTATCCCATTGTCAAGTTCTCAAACTAAACTCTTCTGTATGAAGCTGTGTGATACTATACCATTCAGCAACCATGCCAGTCAAATCACAATGAACTGGCCTGAGAAATGAGAAGCAACCACTTGACAGAGTCATGCTTTCACCCCACTCGTGGCAGTGCTTACCTGGCAAAATCAGCACTCTATCACTGGATGTCAGAGGATGGCTGTCTTTGTACCACGTCAGAGTAGGCGGAGGAGCAGCGTTTGTCTCACAGTGAAGAGAAATGGGATTGTTGATGATCACATCCTTGGCTTCCCCTCTCTTGCCAGTGTCTAGCATGTTTCCTATTTCCCAGAGTTTCTGAAAACTTGGAGGAACTATATAGGGAGAGCATGAAATTTGGTCAGGGGTGAATGCCATTGTCAGTCCATGAAAGATCTCAACTGTGTTTTGACAAGTGATTTACAAATTTAATAAATTAGGTAATGCAGAAATATTTTCAAGTACTCATGCACTTTCCAATACTGGTCAACCAAAGTGTGGCCAGCAGTTAGTTCTCATGTTGAAGAACACAAACTATGGCACTCAGAGGCTATGTGTGTCTTTGCTGTTCCTGTAAAAGGCACTTGAACAACATAAGGGCCCTCTTAGGAACACAGATAAAGAATATGATTATTGCAAGGAAAGCTAATTTTGAGTAATGCAAAAAATACTGGCTCATATAATGTCCATATCAATGATTTATCTCACTAAGAAGTTAAATAGATAAGCAATCAGGATTAAAAACTCATAAAAATAGGACATTCTCATATTTTTCTGGTAATTAGTGAACTTTATTGAGGGAATTTTCTGTACACCAAAAGCATTTTTAAAAGTGCATAAATTTGACCTGAAATTTCAAGTTTTAAATTTGAAAAATTTAAGATGTACAAAAAAATGCTCATATGAACTCACAGCAATGGTGACAGTATGCACAAGACCCATGTAAACTCACACAAAACCAGCATAAATCTGGGGAAATTGGCAGGATGCCATAACTTTGACAAGGAACTACTGACAGCTGATCACTGCTGGGTGAGGGAGAGTTGATCTTCTTTAAGGGAATGATGCTAGACAGGGTGAACAGGCACTAGTGGATGAACTCACACAGAGGGACATCTGGGTACACAAATGACTTGATTGACCTTAACATAGATGACAAAATGCATGAAGTCCTGTGGGTGGGTTATGGGGGGGCTCAGATAAGGAAGGTGGAACTAAATACGATTAATATGTGTTGTATGAACTCCACAAAAATTCAATAAAATATATTTTAAAATTTTCATGTATCTAGATGTTCAGTGTAGTGTTATAAGTATTGAAAACTTGAAAACAACCTAGATGTTTAACAAATGCAATTTGGTTAAACAGACATTTGAGGATGCAACTGATGAAATAAACAATAGGCATAGTTATTACAAATTATATTGTGGCCTGGGGTTACACCTCAGCAGTAGAGAGTTTACTTAATATGTATAAGTTCCCAGATTTAATCCCCAGCACTGACAAAAGTCATCGTTCTGCATAGTAGCAACCTACAGAGTAGCAACATCCACAACAATGGGTATTATTTGTTAATCATGTTCCAAAGAGCTTGGGTTCTTCATCTCATGTATTAGTCTCAACACTTTTGTGGACATTAATTTTTAAAGGGAAGTAAGTTTGAAACTTGAAACGTTTATGTAACTCATCCAAGACACAAAGTTTATGGATGTACCCATTCAATTCAAAGTCTGATGACTCTGGTTTCTATTTTCACTGCTTTTTATCCTTTGTGCAAACTATATTGAAAACCTTCATAACACGATGTTAGTGAAATGATCACATAAGAGAAGTCTGAAATCTGTGATCTAACTTTGTAAATAAAGTGTACCCTGAAAATATCAGAAGGAAACATACCTAATAAGAATGATGGGATTGGTCTTTTCTCCAATTTCTTGAGTTTAAAATTGCAATTGTGAGTTTATGTTATTATCAGGATGAAAAAAAGATTTTAAAATAAATCATGTCACATGTTTTTTCCATTTCTTCAACATATCATGTAAATTGTTATACATTAAGCATAGTAGTTTTACCTTGGATATTCACATCAAAATCCAACTCGTCTTCACCTGCAAGGTTAGATGCGACACAAGTGTATCGTCCAGTGTCTGATATTTGAGCTTCCTTTATTTGAAGAGTGTGTCCATTTGCAGCGATGTTGACATGATCATCTGATTTAAGGGGCTGTGATTCAATATAATAATGTCAGCATTAAACATGCTAATAAATCTAAGATACATGTAACTGATCATTTTTATGATTCATAAATGAAAATGAAATTTTACAGGAATTAATTTACTTTGATCCACTTGTTTTCCAAGTAATAACATTTTTATTTTTGATAATTATAGCTGGCAAAGTTTATGTTTCTACCAGATAATTGTGGGTGATGCATTTATACCTGCTTTATAATGGAAGACATCTTTTTAGGTATCATATCCATTTATCCTCACTGAGAAAAGTATTTTCAGATAACTTACCTCATGTTTTAAAAGGGTGTGTGTCTTTTTGACATTTTTCTAGAAAATGTTAAAATTTATTAAAATTTGGGCACATTAGCATAATCTGATTTTATCTAAAACTATTAGTGTTTATTCAGAAGCATCCTTACTTCATAAACACAAATGCCTAAGTTTAGTAATATGCTGTGATGCCATTGCCATGACTTTGCCCTTCATGGTCTGGAGCTTTTAGTTCCTGAGCTCCTGTCATTACTGGTAACAACAATCCCTTCATAATTCTTAGTGATTCCAGTGCCCACCTTTACCCAAAGTCATGCTCTTCCAGCTTCTTGACTTCTTTTCTTTTAATCCCCCACACCCTTTTCAGTCATCATGTAGAAAGGGCAGATATACAACTGGTAAGTACAATAACTGCACCCTGGGGAAATCTCAGTTAAAAGTGTTCATCTTGAGAACTACCCCTAATTGTTTAACTCACACCTTCCAGCATCCCAACTCTATGGGAGAACACATTCCAGTGACCTTCAGTCTTTTCACTGCTTTTCATTCCCTTCCCACCTGCATCCCTTCTTCATCCAGAGAAAGCCTATCAGGACAATCACTCCATGTACAATCCCTCAACACTCCCTTTATCTTACTCCAATAGAGAAACAGTAACTTCGACTAAGACCCGATTGGTCTGCTCAAAGGACATCCTTCCGGCAGCCACATCCTCTCTCACCCATATGGGCATCTATTTCATCCCACTGGAGAGTTTCAACCTTAAAAGAAGCTCTCTTTCTGCACTCTACCTCCACATTGTCCATGTGATTTACAGTTAACGCTATGAACATATTTTCTACTTGTGTTGTGCCTAGTTTTGTCCCTTTCATCTTTCCCTGAGTCAGACACAGTCACACCTCTGTCATCTCTACTTGATAAGAAAGACTCTTGCCAGCATCACCTTTGACACTTAAGGTTCAATTCTGCCTTCATTTTTGCTTGTTAGTGGAATTTGATAAAGTTTAACTTGTTTTCAGCTTGACATACCCTTTTTCCTCTTTTCTTTTGAGATGCTATATTCCCTGCCCTCAGTTCCCAAAAGTAGACCTACACTGCAGCTTAACCTTTGTATCGCTTGTCTGTTTTTTATTTAAAAATTTATTTTATTTTACGTGTGTGTGTGTGTGTGTGTGTGTGTGTGTGTGTGTGTGTGAGTGTAGGTGCCTGTGGAAGCCAGAAGAGGGAGTCAGATATGCTGGTGCTGGAGTTAAAGATACTGTGAGTCGCCCATCATAGACACTGAGATCTGAACCTGGGTCCTTTGGAAGAGCAGTATGTGCTCCTAACCACTAAGCAATCTCTCTAGCCTGTCTCCTGTCTTTCTAATGTCACTCTCTCAATGATTTCCTATGAAATTTCTTGGATTCATCTCTTCTCTTGACATCCTACATCCCACTACTGCTTTGTTCCAAATAGCCACAATCTGTCTGTTAGACTCTTGTACAACTTTAGAGCTGAATGCTTTCTTGGTTTTCCAACTCTAGAAACTAATGTAATGCTTTTGAAACTTTGTCATACCACATCACATATCATATCAAATCATATTTTACCATTTATTCCATATTCATAGTTTTCTGTCTTCATCAGAATAAGGACATACTAGTCTATAATGCACTGTTATCTGACTCCCATTACTTTGGCTTATCTCTTTGTTTGCCCATGTGTCACACACTGTGGCCTGAAAGCTCGGGGCTTTGCCTTGTGCACTCTACTTTGGAATGTTTTTCTCTCTAGTAATGTCTGCTTCCTCCCTTTTCTTGGGGTTTCTGATTAAATACCTCCTTATCACAGGGGTTCTTTCTCTAATTGAGAAATCACATTCTCACAAATGGTGTCTACTGTATTGAATTCTCTTTGTCCCACATCCTCCAATGGACACATTCTATTTTATGACTTATTTCTTTTAGATTTTTGTCCTTGAATATTTATGTAGTCAGAGTTTTTTTCTATTTCTTTCACATCTGTATTTATTTATAAAATACAGCCTGGTAAATAGTATATCCTCAATAAATAATTTGGTATGCAACAAATCATTATTAATATTATATCACAAATAAACAAACCACAATTTAAAATTTCTGTGTTGAAATTTTCAGAATATTAATAAAATGCAGAAATTCTATTAAATTTATTATAGCCAATATTGCTAATACTTTCATTGGTTTTTCTAAAAACTATTACTTCATTCAAGTAATGTTGCTTATTTAAAGGAGAAATAACAGAAGAAGTGATATAGGAAATCTATATCAAAAGTATGGTTTCTTGGGACTGGAGAGATGGCTCAGTGGTCAAGAGCACTGTCTGCTCTTGTAGAAGACCCAGGTTTGAATCCCAGCACCTACATGGCAGCTAACAACCATTTGTAACTCCAGTTTCAGGGGATCTGATGCCTTCTTCTGTCCTCCGTGGGCACTTCATGACACAGGTGTACTTATATACAGGCAAGTATAACAGGAATAAACGTAAAAATAAAAATAAAAAATAATAATAAAAGTGTTTTTAAAAAGTATGGTTTCTTGCTTATATTTAGGGAACAAATCCCAAGCTCTAAAAAACTAGCAGTTTAGGGGCTGGAGAGACGGCTCAGCAGTTAAGAGCACTGACTGCTCTTGCAGAGGACCCGAGTTCGATTCCCAGCACCCACATGACGACTATAAACTGTCCTTAACTCCAGTTCCAGGGGAATCTGAAGCCCTCTTCTGACATCCATTGCATTGCATGACAGGGTGCACTCACATACATGCAGGCAATACACTCATACATATAAAATAAAAATAAAATATTTTAAAAATTAGCAGTTTAAGTTAATATAATTTGAGCTATTTCATAGTCTGAATTTGAAACTATAATTTAACTATTCTTAATGAAAATTTAAACAGTCTATTGAAATTCTAGTCTTTCGCAGTTTTTATGTGCGTCATTGCGTGTCACTGGATCGCTCTCTTTCCTCTCTCTCTGTATAGTACCCACAAGGAAATGAAAAGGCTTTAGTGAAAACTAAAAACTAATTAATGCTATATTTCAAAGGACAGAGTTATTATTTGTTTCTAAGAAACTTTCATAGAAATGATATTGTATCGTGATGTATGCTGTACTCAGAAAGAAAACTATAAATAGAACACACTGGGGGTTCTGCATTTTCCTTTTGCAATGGTTTCCAGATGAAACTCACTTATATCATATGAAAAGCCTTTTTCCCCAACTGCCAATATATCAAAATCCATGTGGGATCTAAAAAAAAATGAAGCTATATCTTTCTTGCCTCTTAATCATATTCTGACCTGAACTTCCACAACTGGAATCTAACTGACCATTTGGTTGGTTATGTGTAAAACAAGATGGAGAGCAGTTAGCTGACTCACATTTGTGTGAAACAGTGTTATCAGCAACTAAAAATTCTCTTTTAGCTCAAGAACACCAGCACATTTGTCATCATAGCATGTGAGGAAGAAGAGGAGTCCAGTGAGGAACAGGGTGCAGGATCTGAAAGCCAGATCATAAACAGCACTCTGCCTTTTATTTAATGTATTTCACCGCTCCCAGGTAATCATAGTGGGCTTTTCATTAACTTTTCTTTTAACTTTCTCATATTTTGGGATGTTAAAAATGTCTTTTGTAAAAGAGTTAGAGATATTTAGATAATGTTCTGAATAAATTTATCAACCATCATCCTAAGCTGGCTTAGTACTACGTGTGCGTTTCTTCTGTACAAAAGTTTACCTATTTGTTGCAACTATAGAACAGAAACACTGTTCCTCTAATTTCTCCAGTGGGAGGGTGGCCAGATTTTCACAGTCACAAAAATAACCTTGCAAACTTTCCAGCGATGGAATGATGCTAAAATTGGTAAACATGGTTTATCTTTTATTTTTAAAATTTTAAATTTAATGCAGTTTCAGATTCTATGAGTATGGGATTTTCTGCCTTTAATGTCACAATGAGATTTCTCTCTGTGTCACTTGCATCTGTTTTTTTTTTTATTATTGGCATTTTAGTCCTTATGAAATCATCAACAAACAAAAACACTGTTGCGACTGGCCTGTCCATCCTTGTACCAGCTGAGGGAGGCAGAAGGAATCGCATAGGCTTCACATTCCAATGTCAGGGTGTTGTTTACTTTGATCTTCACTTCTTTAGGGGAAAGACCTGGCCCCAAAAGGTCCCCTTTCTTGATTATGGGTGGAACTGCAGAAATGAATGTTAAAGAGTTAAACATTGGGTATACCACAGAAATCACAACAAAGAACACTTAACAAGGTCATAAGGAAATGAGGGGTGTTGCCTTCATAGCCCTTCCATGAAGGACCCAAGTTAGCATCTTAGGCGACAGCAGTTTTCAGATAGAGAATACGAGAAAGAATATCTCTCTTTCTTCATCATTATAAAACTGCAGGGAGGCCAATGCCATTCATAGTTTCATTTGTTCCAGGTCCACGACACAGTCTAACCATGACCCATAAGGATGTTTTTTTTGTTGTTGTTGTTGTTACTAAGGGCAATGAGTCAAAGAAAAATGATAATCAGAAAAATGCACTTTCTTTGTAAAAAACATAATATGTAGAAACACCTTACAGTGTAGCCCATATTAATAGCTGTGTTAGTTTTGCTTTTTATTTATAGGCCAACATAAATTGCAATTACCCCAAACCACTGAAGATCTTATCTTGTGCTCTGGAGTAGGCATCTGCATGGGAGCAACAGTGCTGCACATCAAACTACTGTGACTCAGACAGCAAGCCAGAAGACAAACATGGGAAATTAAGGAAATGCCCCTGAGGAAAACCTCTAACAAGTAGGTAGTGAGCAGATTGAGTGGACTTGACTTTTTTTTGGCATATGTATGTGTACAGTATGTATGTGTTTGTGTTGGCATGTGTGTGGGATACATGCGCATGGATGGATACATGTGCACACTGGTGTGTTTGTAGGCCCAAGGTTGATGCCAGATGTTTTCCTCAGTTGTTCCCAGCTGAGCCCAGAGCCCACTGTTTTGACCAGTCTGGTTAGCCAGCTTGTTCGGGAATTCCCTTTCTGTCTCTCGGGCCCTGGGATTAGAGGCAGGCCTCCATGGCTGTTTGGCATCTACATGGGCTCTGGGGCTCAGAAATTTAGTCCTCATGCTTGCCTGGCAAGTGGATTACAAACTGAGCCATCTCCTCAGCCTGGGCTCTTTGCATCTTTAAATAAACGAGGCCATGGGCACAATGCTTAATTCAACTTCCATTCTTAATGAAGCAAATGGATGAGCAAGAGTCTTGAATGATCACTACAAACACTTATGATTCCATAATGAAAAAGAGGATTGAAAAAGAGCTATTTGGGAAGAGCTGAGACATAGCGTTCTTTTAGAACTTACTGTAGACTTTCACTTCATAGTGCTTTATCATCTCCCCAGCCTCATTAGTAGCTACACATGAGTACCTTCCCGCATCATCCTCCTGTGCATTCAGGATCTGCAGAGTTCGGCCTCCTGAAACATCAAGGGACAGCAGAGTCTGTGACATTATGGTGGAAGCAGAGAATGCACAGCTAGTCATTTAGGCAGCTAGTAATTTAGTGCTGACTGAACACTGCTTCTCATGAGTGCCAATATAGCGGTTGATATCTGACATAAACAAGCCATCATACAGTGTGTGAGATGGTCACTAAGTCCTCCTCGGTCCTCTATGTGGCACAGCTCTCACACATTCTCTGACATCCCCAGGTCTATGTGCATCACAGGACCGTATTGTATTTCACACTTTTCATGAACTGGTTCCTGCCTTCATCTTATCTTCCTCTCATCTACCTGGCCTATCAGTGGAGATTAAGTGTGCTAAAATGTAGTTTTGAATATGGTGCCTTCCTCTTTAAAAGCTGCCAATGGTTCTCAACTGTTTCATGCACAAAGTCAAAATTCTTTAATCCAGGCATTATAAACAGTGCCCCAGCTTTCCTTCCTGACTGCCTTCTGCATTTCTCTGCAATGCTTCCATTCAAGTGGGGCATGAGAAGTCTTCTTTCTGCACCCGGTCAGGACATTCTCACTTAACACCTTTCCCTACTACTCATGCTGATGGATCTGAACTCTATTCCAACTCACCACCAGTCTAAAAAAAATAAGGTCTAAAGGGGCTGGAGAGATGGCTCTGGAGTTAAGAGCACTGGCTGCTCTTACAGAGGACCCTGGTTTGCTTCCCAGCACCCACAAGACAACTAACAATCATCTTTAACTCCAGTTCCAGAGGATCCAACACCCTCTTTGGATCTCTGCAGGCACTGCATGACACGGGTACACTTACAAACATGCAGGCAATACACTCATAAAATAAAAAATCAACAAGGTCTGCATTCTGGTTAGGCAGCAAAGCCTTTTCTGATGACTTCATCCACAATACCAGACACCTAGTGTCTTCTTTTGAATTTTTACAAAACTTGCCACCATTGCATTTTCATAATCTCCCAAGATTCATAACTGATGATTTTTGGCTTCCTGTCCTTAATATGCTTTCCCCACCTTATCTCTCCACCACATAAGACTAAATTTCTTTAAAGTCAATGATTATAGTATTTAATTCTTTCAATTTTCACACATGTTGCCAAGTATTAAAAAGGTGCAAACTTGGTCTAAATATTAACTCTCCTTCAAGGTTAAATTCAATAAAAATGAATTTCTTTCCTTTAAGGTATTCCATATTATAATATATTTGAGCAACGAATTATAGCATTTCTTTATTTAAGATTTTTATATTTCAAAAAGTAATTGTATTTTATAAGATGAACATACAAAGAATAGAGAGTAACACAGCAATAGACTATAACACAACCAAAAACACAGGCACTCTCATAGAAAGTAATTGATGTTTCTATTTTTCAACAAAGTAGAAACACATGTTGTCCATCTGAGGTCAGTTAATTACCTGGTAGAATACGAATATTCCGGTTGGATTCCAAAGGGGCTCCATCCTTAAACCAGGTGATGGTAGCTGGGGGATAGGAGTAAGCTTCACAGACCAAAGATGTGGGGCTGTTAAGGATGACAATGACATCCTCAGGGCTGCCGTCACTGTCTACCCCAGCAATTGTAGGAGATACTGAAGAAGATTTAAAGTTTGATTAAAGAAACATGGTTTAGAAATTCCTCTAGGTTTCTAAATTGCCATTGTGCTTATTTGTGTAATCCCATTTCTCAACAGTTACGGAGTAATTATTGATCTTATTCTACAGAAAATCAGTGAAAATGTCACAGGGTCAAGGAGGAAGCTGACACTAATGACATTACATGGGAAGGAGAGGAGGGATGCTGGTAAGGCTAATGGGGACATGGCATCAGTCAGTATGGGCAACTGGGTGTGAAGGTTTCCATTAGGGACGGTATCTTGGAAGAGGAGGTTTCAAAGTGACGCAAAAGTTTAGAGGTCACTACCCAGCGAGAAAAGGTATGCCATGAAAAAGAAGGAGCTATCGAGAGCAGAATAACAGGAAACAGTGAGTGAGGAGCAAGTGAAGCATGCTGGGGATGAGCTAGAGCAGGTTATATCAGCAAGCACGAGAGCAAGTATGCTTGCTTCACAAGAAACAACGAAAGACCGAGCTGCAGCATCAGAGGCAGGCATGCAGGGGAAGTGCTAACCAAAGAACATTAACTGGCAGGGCTCCATGGATTTGGTAGAGCTGGTGGGAAGTGGCTCTCAAAGATAGCTTCCATTTTCCTTCCTTGTGTACCTAGCTAAGCTGTATCAAGCATCATAAACAGATCATATAGAGATTTGTGACTTAAGATAGTGCAATTTCTTTTCACTTCTGAATTCCTTGAATTCTAAGTATCCACATACTGGTAGAAATCCTAACAATTCTCTATAGGAATCTGAACCTTGTGAAAAGAACTGGTTTCACAAGTATGGGTATTAAAAATCACCAGACTATAAAGCTGCCAGAGAAATAGCAAAAGTTGGTGTAGGCAGAAAGAATCTTGTCTTTAGTGGGACAAAAAGTATAGACAGGAAACATTACAAAGCAAAGTCAGGGAACAGTAGAAGGTGAAGGTTCAGGTGGGCAGTCACCTAGGAAGGTGTCGGATTCAGGGTCAAGGGCACAAGTGCAAGCCGTACTTGTGGACAAGGATAACCTATCCTTGGGAACAGAACGGGCAAAGGCACTGAGTTTATAACTGGGTAGTTTGGAAGCTACCACAAACCTGAATAAACCAAGCTCCGTTAAGCTGGTAGAAAAGGTGGGGTAGTGAGATGGCAACACTCAGGACACCTACAGTAAGTGCCCTTAACTGGAGATGGTCTTGAGGGAGCTGAAGACTCAAATTCCAATTACAGACAGGAGTTTGAGAGTTTTGAGTAAGTTTTTCGGCAAGGGCAGGCTGGTATCAGTAGTGGGAGGAATAAGGCATGTGGAACTTAACAGTCCTGAAAGAAGCAGTGGACCACAAGAGAGTAGAGGGAGTCTGGGGCCAGGCACCTGCCTTTTACACCCTAAGTGGACCTAGAGCTCACAGGCCTGACTCAGGAGCTTTCATTCATATGTATTCATGTACCCTACTATGTAATACCATATCAGATGCTGGGGTTAACAATGCAAAGTCTCATTCTGCCCATGGAGATCTGTAGTCTTATACATACTATTACTTAATGCTATTCTTTTGACAACCTACATATTATCTGGTATTTTGGTTGAGCTTTCTTGTATATATATTTCTTTTAACAATTAATATTGTAACATCTTTAAGTTCACATTCTACATGGAGGTTCCTATGTATGAGTATCTATGTACTCCATGAATTATATAGCTACTAATTACAAAAACAAATTAACAAACTCAAATATTTTTATCCTCACATACAGGTCAGTCAATTTTAGTTTAATATTAGTAATAAAATATAATACATTTAGATGGTACATTTAAAACTTCAAAAAATGAGAAGAAATTTAGAATCTATTTCAATGACATCCCCAAGACATAAGCAGAACATTGAGACTATAGGACCAATGAGGATGCACCAATACACACCATTGCTTAACCACTCCCAGGTCATAGAGACTGAAATAAGATCAATCTCCAGTAAAGGCAAAGTCTCACAAGAAAGGACACATGATCTTAGGTGAAGACTCACTCACTGTTTACCTGTTTCTCTTTGATCAGCATAACTTTATACTTTACCATTGCAAGTACAAATGTCTATCTTGTTCATTATTATTCCTTGCATAAAACTGTGCCTGGAGAATAGCAGTTTATTCTACAGCAATGAATTAATTTACCAAAGAATAAAGGACAGTCAACACATACCGGCACCCGTGCTCCTCACATAATGAAATTCTATGAAAGAAACGGCAAGTAAACAAAGAAAGGACAGATTTTATCAAGATTTGAAGTGAAGCCTATGGTCATATTTGAATCTTCAAGATGCGAAATGAAGCTTCCACCTACCAAACACATTGAGACTGAAACTTTTGCTCTTGTCACCAGCTGTATTAGAGGCCAAACATGTGTATCTTCCTGTGTCTGACACCTGAGCACTGGTGATCTGGAGAAATCGGCCTCCGGACATCATGTGGTGGGCTTCATCTTCTTGGAAGAGCTGTCCATCTTTGTGCCACGTGATCTGTGGCACTGGATTCCCTGTTTTAAAAAGGCATTTCTGAGGGTGGCCCAATACCGCATATTTACTTTTTGACTCGTTCCCCTTCCAAAACAATGCAGTGGCTATTCATTCTGAAATAGTGTCACAAATGAATCGTTTTCTAATATAATGGCAATAATGCTATAATGAAAAACAGACTAGAAATCATTTTCAAATATAGGTTAGTTTTTATCTATAAATGATTCTAAATTGATCTTTCATGATTAAACTCATGAGATATTTTAGCTCTTATATTTAACTATTTTCACAGTAAACCATGCTTTAAAAAGGAGTACTTTTAGAGTTCTAGGACAGATGGGGCTATAGGGAGACCCTGTCTCAAAAAGACCAAAAAAAAAAAAAAAGAGTACTTTTTAACGAAAATATTATAAATTCTTTTCTATCATACGAAAAACTTTAAAATTTTATACTTTTGAGAAAATGTAGAGAAGTGTTTAATTCAGCACATAATCTGAGTTATATTAGGATTCTCAGAAGAGATATAACAAAATTAATTATTCATTTAGTATTTAGTTAATATTTATAGCTCATAGTGAAAATTTTAGAAAGTCTGAAATGAAAACTTGTGTTAAATATTGTTTTAAATAGTTAAAATAACTTTTAGAAATGATAAAACCATAAAACACCTCAGTAACAAAGAAGGCCAGGACGGAATATTAAAATTGGAGAGCTTGAACAGCAAATGCTATACAATCAGGAAGGAGGTAGGGAGGGAAGGATGGCAGCAGGGAAAGTGGAGGAAGGGAAGGGAGGAAGGGAGGGGAGGAAGGAGGAGAGAGGGAGGGAAAGGAAAAGGCAGGGAGGGAGGAAAGGAGGGAGGTGAGGAAAGAGGCAGGGAGGGAAGGAGACAGGGAGGGAGAGAAGAGGAATTAGGCAGTTTTTTTCTATCCTTTCAATAAAGCTATTCTCTACATGGCATTTGTTAATTATCACATTGCTTCTAGGGGACAAAAAGGTTAAGCAATAGTGAATACAGCATTTTTCGTAGCTGCCTTTCTGTCTTTCTTTTCTTTCTCTCTCTCTCTCTCTCTTTCCCTCCCTCCCTCTCTTTCTTTCTTTCTTTCTTTCTTTCTTTCTTTCTTTCTTTCTTTCTTTCTTTCTTTCTTTTTTTTTTTTTTTGAAGTCTCCTTGTAGCCATAGCTGGCCTGAAACTCACTATGTCAACCAGGCTGGGCTCAATCTCACAGGCATCTGCCTGCTTCTGTCTCCTGAGTGCTGGGATTAAAGGCATGGGCCACCACACCTGGCATATTTGTTTTTCTTAAAGTATTCCATATTTAAATTACAAAAGACATAGAAACAGTGAAATAAGAACCCTGTCAAAGATTCCTTAAAATTCTAGCTTTCTATAAAGTTTTATGGGTACTCCCATTGTTCCTTTAAAACTGGAAGGTCATTTATCGACAATAAAAAGACAGGCTTGAAAATGTTCTTTTAGTTATTTATTTCTTTATTTTGATTTCATGCAATGAGTCACTTAGATGGTTAAAGATAGTAAAGTTGGCTTTTGAACCTTCTATTTTTCTTAATTTTCTCTGTAATATGCAAACATGTTAACAAAAGCTTGTAGTTTTGTTCTTGGGTATTCCATCACCATTAAATAAGACTCCTGTCTGTTTCTTTGAAATGAAATTTAAGAAAGCAAGGAGGGCAGAAACTTAAGGAAAGATAGAAAAAATGAAAGGGGTGGAACAAGGAAAACCTGTATGTAAGCAGCAACACAAACATGGTAAGAAAAATAGTGCGTTGAGCAGAAAATAAAAATGTGTTCAGCTTCCCTCCTCCTTCATTTTCCACTCCCACTTTCCTTCCTTCCTTTAAAAACAATTTTAAAATCTTCACAGAATCTGAGATAGTTCCTATGCTCCCATTTACATTCAACCAGGCTTCAATTTCAAATGCTTATTATGGTAGCTACACTTTTCCTCAGTTAATTAACAACGCACACACACACACACACACACACACAGCACCCCGAGACGGTGGTGATCAGTGTGTGTGTGTGTGTGTGTGTGTGTGTGTGTGTGTGAAGTTCTAGAACCCCAGGAGCTGACCCCTTACCTGTCACTTCACAAGTCAATGTCACACTCTGTTTTTCTTTAATCTTCACATCTTCCAGTGTATTTTCACCCACAATATGAGGGGGCACTAAAACAAACACACAAAGAAATCAGGAGAAGTAAGTCACAACTCTAACAGCAAGGTTAGTATTTTATAAGCATCTAATTTTTGAACAAATCTCATTATTTGGTTGTTAGAATGTCAAAGTGTTTTCATCAATTCCAGTTTTAAAATGTACTGTAAAATTATGTGATAAACCTAATTATAATGAATCCAGTTATAATATAAATCATAAAATATGAATAAAAATGTGTGATGGTAATAGTTAATTAACGTGACACAATTTGGAATGACCAGGGAAGGGAATCACAACAAGGAACTGTGTGGATTAGGTTGGCCTGTGGGCACATCAGTGGAGAAAGACAGCAGAACCTAAGCCTGCATGCCTTCATTCTCTCTCTGCTCCTGACAGGATATGACTAGCATGGTCAAGTTCCTGCCACCTTGACTTCCCCATTTTGATGGTCTGTACCCTGGAATTGAAGTCAAATAAGCCCTTTCTTCCTTAAGGTGTTTTTATCAGGGCATTTCATCACAACAATCGGGAAGGAAATGGACAGAAGCAAGGTTGGACTTGTGAAGGCTAATTTTGTTTGTCAACTTGACTGGATGTGGACTCAACTAATCAACGAAAAGGCAAGCCACTGGGCATACTGCGACGGATTGTCTTGACCAAAGAAGCCTCATCCTAAATGTGGGGACACCTTCCTAGGTAAAAGGAAATGGAAGAAGCAAACTTTGCTTTTCCCTTCCTGCCTTCACTCTTGCTGGTGAGTTCATCTACTCTGTTGCTTCTGCTTTCCCTCAGTGATACCAGAATCCAGCCTCTTTGGGCTTCCAACATGGATTGCAAACCAGATGCTCTCCAGAAATCTTTCAGGCCTTCATCAGATTGGTACTGCTGAGGCACTCAAACTCATGGACTGAGCAGTTACAAGGTTGTCAGTCTCTCCAGTGTAAGATAGCCATCTCTGGACTAACCAGACCGTATCACATAGGTGAGCTTGCTTTTACTTTCAGCTCTTGACTGTGGATGTGACTAGTGGCTTTAAGTTCCTGCCAGCTTGACTTCCCAGCAACGTGGGGCTGTAATCTGGAATTGTGAGCTAAAGTAAACCCCTTTTCCCTTTTATTTTGTGGTATTTTTTTTCATAGCAACAGAAACAAAACTAAGATAAAGTGTATCAAAGATTGATTAATATGGACATTTATTTGTCCCATTATAACTCTAATAATCTCTCCCTCCAAGCAAGCAAGGAACACAGCATCTTAGACTATTTCTGAGCAGTTGTGAACTGTCAAAAGTTGGTAGTTTAGTCATAATCAAACTCATTGCTTCCAAAAAAGTATAATGCTAAAATCTTTCCAAGATATATACTACAGAGGCAAAAGAACATGTAGGTATGAGTTCCAGCTGTAAATAAGCTTTAACTCTGTGTCCAGAATATATTTAAGTCAATTGGATTTTTTCCCTTAGATATTGCAAAGTACACAGTACCTAATACTGAAAGACCAAAATTTTTTCTTTCTTCACCAGCTGCATTCCTTACAACACAAGTGTACTGGCCAGCATCTTCTATTTTGGTTTGCATCAACCGCAGCATCCTGCCTCCTGGAAAAGCAAACCACCAGATGACTTAAAGATAAATACAATGCTGGGTGACAGAAGAGGAGAAACAGAGCTTCACAAAAAAGTGACATTTGAATACATTCTTTTAAAAATATTTTATTTATTATCATTATTTTATGTGTATGATTATTTTGCCTGTATGTATGTAAATGCACCCATGCTGTGCAATACTCGCAGAAATCAGAAGAGGGTGTCAGATCCCCTGGAACTGGAGTTAAGGACAGTTGTTAGCGGCCATGTGGGTGCTGGGAATCGAACCCAGGTCCTCTGTACGAGCAGCATTGCTCTTAACTGCTGAGCTGTCTCTCCAGCCCCTTGAATGTATCCTTAAAAAGTAGCATATTTTAACAGATGAGAGGCACTGCTGTAGGTGGAGTATGAGGGTAGAGAGGTAGACTGTGAAAGTGGTAGTCACACCTAAAGCAAAACAGGTAGGGGAGATGACTAGAGATCAGTCTGGATGAAGTTTGGCCAGACTCTGTGTGCCCTTGATTGCCAAGATGAGGAATTTAGACTTTATTGTGCTTGCTAAAGTTAACAGAAGGACTTAGGTGCACAAAACAAGGTCATGGTCTGATTGGTGCTTTCAAAAGTCAGTGCTGACCTGATGTTCAGGAAAAAGTTTCAATATGCAGTTAAGCAATAAAATGGGAATGTCAACAAGAGGGTTAGATTAGCAACCTAGATTTGGGTGAAATCAGTATACAAGGGAAGTGAGACCATGAAATGGACAGCCAGCTTTCAAGTGAGGATCTTGAAAATCCTGGTGTCCTTAACGTCAAAGACCACAGGGGTCACCTCATGTACAGTGCAGTGCTGCCTTGGTGGCATCTTTCCATACAGTGAATTTCTGTTACATTTTGTTTGAAGAAATGCACACAGATGGAGATTGAATATCTTTTATAAACAAAGGTATTGGAGCTAACAAAGGACAAAGCAGACAAAGTAAAGCCTTTGGAGAAGTCATACATAAACCAAGTGTAGAGACTTCCAAAGTATTTAATGCAAACTCTCAGAACAGCAGTAAACCACTACTTCGATTCTGTAATAATTCTTAGACTGGAATATTTTTGCTTAGCACTCTGAATTTAAACTAAAACTATAATGATTAAACATGAAAATTTCATGTAAATATTCACCTAGATTGCTTTGCAAGTTTCTATCTGCTTTTGGTTTATATAAACAGAAGCCGACATTGAGCTTTTCCACTCAGCAACTGTCCACCTTCAATTCAGTGAAGTATGAATTTAGCAGTATCTTATTTGAGAAAACAAAGCTTACTTCCTGAATTGAATTTCCTTTTTCCCAGATGAATTTAGTTAAGCAATAAAAAAAATGGTGTAAACATGTTTTTAAAAAACACTTCCGTCAATTATGAAAGGACTCACCCACTCATTGGTAGTTCAGATTAGTGAGGTCACAATATGGTACCAATTGAGAGACATTAAAGCCATACAACTTTTAAAAATATATTTTATTTATTATTTGTACTTTATGTGTATGCATGTATTGTCTGCATGTAGGTAAGTGCACCCATGTCGTGCCATGCCCGTGGAGGACACAGGAGGCTGTCGGATCCCCAGGAACTGTAGTTATGGACAGTTGTTAGCTGCCATGTGGGTGCTGGGATTCCAATCCCCAGTCTTCTGCAAGAACAGCCAGTGTTCTCAACTGCTGAACCAGCTCTCCAAACCCATAAGCCATACAACTTTTAAAACAAATTTTTAAATTTATTTTTATTTTACGTGTATGAGTATTTTGCCTGCACGTATGTAAGTGCACCCACGCAATGCCTGCAGAAGTCAGAAGAGCACTGGATCCCCTGGAACTGGAGTTACAGAAGATTGTGAGCCACGTTAGCCACCACTTGGGTCCTCTGCGGGAGCACTCAGTGCCCTTAACCACGGTGCCCTCTCTACAGCCCCAAAAGCCATACAACTTTCAGGAGTCATTCATGACAGGGTCTATAATCCGCAGTCTCCTAGGCCTCATCTTTCTTTGCTCTTTGCTTCCTGGTCCTCTTACTTAATCTAGTGAAAAACAAAAATTAGTCTGGCAGTAATTTATACTCATACAAAGACATTTCTTGTTTCTACTTAATTTTTATAGCAGCTCTCTGTTCCTCGCAAATACCTCTATGAGAATGATAGCGCCGTCACCACAACCCAGCTTTCAGACAAGCTGGAGCAAAGTCTCAGGAGGATTCGTCTTAAGGAAACGGAAGTGTACAGCAGACGACACTGAGTGTGTCATGTGAACTGCCTGTTTCCCATTTGTCTATCTCACAAAACACACCCAGACTGTAAAGCTGACAGAGTCCTTTGGCAGTCTCAAGGTGAAATACTTTTAATGTGTTTTGTTCAAGGATCTCCAACTGCTGGTCAGGCAGAACAAAACTAAATAAAGCCAAAATGCCACTGCTGTAAATGTGCAGGGAGCCAGAGGACCCCACTCTATCACACTGTTTGATTTCTGGGATCTTGAATCTTGTTATTGTATTTAATAAATTCCTACTTCCTAGCCACCGAAAAAAAGTTTTTGTTGTTGTTGTTGTTGTTGTTTTTAAATAAAGATAATTTCAAGAAGGCAATGTACTCAGGTTGTGTTAGCCAGACTACGACCTTTACCACTACCTCCCACTTTGAAAGGACAGAGAGGCAGGGAACCCTAGGAAAATAAAAACACCATAGGACACAGGTAAGATCCAGGGAAGTTTCCTAAGGCAGGGAAACAAGGAGATGTTGGATGCTTTTTTAAGTGCCACATTAACAGCTTAACATACACCAACCCATCTCATTTTCATAAAAGCCTCAGAACACATGCTGCTGCTGTCTTCACTTTACAAGGTCCCAAAGCTGAGTAACTTGCCCAAGGTCATAAACACAGAGAGCGTTCTAGGCAGTATACTTGAACACCAGTGTACAGTGCTCACCAAACTCCTCTCATTTATAGACCTAGATTAGGAAGAAAGAGATGGGCTTTACTTAGGTTATTTAGACCTTACTCCAACGCTAGGGAGGACTCTTTTGTGAAAATACTTTTAATACCTGGAATTTAAACTTTATTTGACCAGGGTCAGGGCAGGGAGCTTACCACCATTTCGAAGAGCTTGTCTTCACTTTAAACAAGCTAGATATTTTTTTCTGAGTAGTTTATAGTCAAACTCAAATTTGTCCTTAAGCTCTCCTACACGCTGACATAATATTTAACTTTTAAAACTGAACAGAGCCACATAATCCCTTTTCTACCGTGGCTTTTCAAATATTTAAATTTATTTTTTATTATGTACCAAATATACCATAAGGCTTATTTTTCTCAGCTAAATATAATCAACGATTTCAGTTATTTTTCAATCAGTTAGTTATGCTTATCCTCATTTGAAAATACTGTCAGTAAATCCTTTTCCTGTTCTTCCTAAAAAGGGCAGCGAAATCTACAGTAAAATTGGTCTCTTAATTTTCTTATTAGGACAATTATAATTTATTGGGGTTGCGAATTTTTTGTTTTTTTTCTTGGCTATCACATTATGCTGTTGGTGAATACTGATTACCTACCACAATTCAGGAAACTTTTCATATTAAGAACTGTGGAGCTATAGCTCAACATAATTTTGATTACTGGTTTTAAAGATGTATTTTTATTTATGTATGTATATGTGTATAACACATTGTGTGCAGGTTCCCTCAGGGTCCAGAAGAGGGCAGTGGCTCCCCTGGAAGGTACTGGGAACTGAACTCTAGTCCCCTATAAAAACAGCAAGTGCTCTTAACCTCTGAGTCATCACTCCCTTATTACTGTTTTTAAATATGTTTAGGAGATTATTTAACTTTCATCTCATTAAGTTTAACTTAAACCTTCCAACATGAGCTGTGTTTGAAATTACATGGCTTCATTCAGCATATTAAGATTTTTCTCTAAGTATCTAAGAAAGACTATCTTTTTAGTCCATATGATAGCCATTACAGAAATAGGCCAACTACAGATTTCCTGTGGCATGCTTCAAAAAATCAGGAACCAGACAAGGCTGCCCGCTATCCCCACTTCTCTTTAACATAGTACTTGAAACTCTTGCAAGAGCAATAAGACAAGAGAAGGAAATTAAAGGAGTAATAATTGGAAAAGAAGAGCTCAAATTATCCCTTT